CCCCCCCCCCCCCCCCCCGCCCCGCCCCCAGCCGCTTGTCCAATGCTGCACACATGTGCCGGCGCACCATGGCGAACAACGGTCAATGCCGTGTGCTCGGTCGGCCGGTCGACGATCCGGGCACCGAGGGCCCGGAGCCGATCCAGCGCATTGGCCCATGCGCCAACTCCTTCCGATGCGAGGTCAAGGCCTTCATGCTGCGGCAGGGGAACATCCAGCGCGCACACTTCGCACCCGGACAGCGGCAGGGAACAGCCACTCCCCGGCAGGGAGTCCACCGCAGGGTCCGCCAGTGGCCCTGCACCCTCGACCTCATGCAGAGACCGCCCTCGCAGGATGTCCCCTACCCGGCGGCTATCTTGGGCAAAAGCCAGCATGGGCACTGGCGGACCTTCGGTCGGAGGCCTTCTCGCTGCCGAGGGCGGCCCCTCCAAGCCGTCCCAAGAGCAGGGGACGCGAAATGCCGGCCACCGCGAGGCGCTGTCGAGGCAGGACAGCAGCTCGGCCACGGTCGGCCAATTGGGTGTCCCGCCGCCGGTGCCCGGCAGCCGGGGGCCCGGGGCCACGCGCCACGACACCGGAACCCGAGTCCCTGAGGAGCCTGCCCTCGCCGGGGCCACCAGGGCCAGGATGTCTGGAAAGTCGGACAACATCAGTGCCAGAGCCCATGGCCGAGCAGCAGCCAAGTCCACCGGCGAGCATGTGCGAACCTGGGAGAGTGGCCACATCGAGGTGCGTCTTGGAGGTCCACCGAATACGAGTCACCAACACCGGCGGCGCGAGGAAAACCCCCGCCGGGACGCCCACAGACGGCAGGGCCCCATCGAGCGGGCGACCATCCGCCTCGGCGACGCGCCCGGCGCCAGCCGGATCCCGGAGAAGTCCGGCTCCTGGGCTGGACACCGTCAAGACAAGGGATCTGCTCGGGTTTGGCAAGCGGGTCAATTGCCGCGCCGGCTCCTGGCACCGGGCCTCCCACATGGGGCACATACCTTTCCGGGGGAATGCGCCAGCTGTGTGCCAGCGGTCCGTCGGTTGCCACATCAGGCCGGGCATCCTGCCCGGCAAGCTCCTGAACATTCGCCGCGAGAAGACGCCTGAGGACGGGTGTCAGGAAAAGGGAGCCAGCCAAAGGAAGAGGAGAACCCGCCCTCACCCTCGCCCAGTGCCCATGTGCTCGGTCTAAGACCAGCATACGGGCACTTGAACGTACGCCAGCGCCTCCCGATCGCCGTCCGTCAGGCCGGATTCCCGGTCCGTCACGCGAGCCACCGGCCGGACACTTGGGACACCATGGGGGAGGGGGGGGGGGCGGAGAGGAAGTCAGCAACCCAAGGCCGGGGTACCATGCACATGGCGCGCACATGCCCAATGCACAGCACGCAACGCACCGGCCGAGGGTGTCCCGGCAGCCAAGGTCAAACCACCCCAACAAAGGGGATCCCGATGCATCGGTGCCCCAGGGACCCCCACCAACCACCACAAGATCCACATCCTGGGCTGTCCACTCGATCGGCGGGGCGGCCAGCCGCACCGGGGCCAATGTGTCGACGGGCGCCGACGGCTCCTCCCGCGGGCGCTTCATGTCGCGACTCGATCGCGGCAGGATGGCGGAAGCCGGCCTCTTGGAAGAGGCGTCGCCCGATGTGGCCGACAACTCTCCCACCGAAGGCCCCTCGAGCAGCAGGTACTCCGGGCGGATCTTCATCCAAGACCCGATGGACCGGCAGTTCGGCTCATACATCGAGTGTCCTGGTTTCAAGACGATGCCCTCATCGCTGGTTCATGAGCAGCCATGGCATTCCGGGCATCAGGCAAATGGCGGACACATGGCATCGCCGCGAGGAGGAGAGGGGAATCGAAAAAAGCGTACCCCTCGGCCACGGCGCGATTCACACACCGGGCGATGGCCTGCTCCACGGCCGGAAGTCCACCTGGCAGCGGCAGTACAAGGGTGTTCTGACGGTCGTCCGGCAACTCCAGCATCACTCGCCCGGGCACCGGCGCAAGCACCCGTCGCAGATGTTCCCTTTCAGTGGCGGGGGTTAGAAAGGGGCATGGTCCAGCCGGAGTCGCGCGAATGTGGAGGCTTGTGCGCACTTCCGCCGGTCAAGCGGCACCGATGCCATGGACCGACCATCCAAGTAGACGACATCGAAGACCACCATGCATGAGTGCGCATGCCCGGCGACTGACCGATTGATTAGGCCCAGCATGGGGAGGGGGCGGGGGTCAACCAGAGGGAGCGGATGCCTTGCGTACCGCCAGACGACGCCGGTCGCACAAAGGAGAATGGCAAGATCCGCCGGGCCACGGGACACCAAGCAATCAGTTCCCCATCGAGGATCACCTGCCGACCGAGGCGGCGAATGTCAGGAACCCAGGAGACAAGGCCCGCGCGCTGGCAGGACGAAAGCCGGTGGCATGCAGCCGGAAGGCACGCACATCGGTCACCGACCCGGCCAATGCGGCCGTCAAATGGTCGGCCAGCACCCTTCCGGCCAGGCGTGCTGTCCAGTCGACCCCGCGCCGGGACCAAAACCGCCAGCCGGCGCCGAGGCCCGAGCCCGTGCCCGGACGGGCAAAGTGCGCCTGGAGGCGCTCGCCGTCATACTTCCGCTCGACCAGCAGGCGGCCTTTCATGGACAGGAGAGCAGCGCGGAAGGATGCACCGGAGGCCGGCCGAGCTGACAGGTGGGGCCGGAAATACTGAAAGAGGGCCACCTCATCCGAAGGAACGGAGCGGGCACCGCGATAGAGATCGCCCGATGCCCTCGCATCGTCGGGCAGCCCGGCGACTTCCCGACCAAGGGCATCCACCAAGGCCAGGGCGAAGCCCGCTGCCTGGGGCACGTCTGTCAAGAGTGCACACTCAAGGGGGTTATTTGCTCATTCACGGGTGGGCATATGTGGGCGAGAGGGGGAGGGGGAGCCGGATGGAACACAGACGAGGGCGACCAGTCGCGTCGTTTGAGAGGGCCGATCTTTCCAGCCGGGCCAGAGGACGCACCACCCGCGAGCATCCGACCGAACCAAGTCACAGTTGTGTCATCCTCCGGGGGAATCGCCGCGCTTATAGCACGGAGCCGATCCAGGAGTAGCCGATACTCCGGGCTGGTGGAACGTGGACGGCCAAAGGGCATGTCAGACCCAGGCAGCAGGCCGCCTCAAGGAGGGGAAAGCACCCGCGGCAAGGGAACGCACTCGGCACTGGCCTGGAGGAGTGTGGTGCAGCGCCCGCACACCCGGGTCAATCGGCCGAGAGCCTCGGCTGCTGCGTCGGCCAGTGACGGGAGCTCATGGGCATGGTGAGGCTCGGCCTGGCGGAGAAAGGCCCGAGAGGCATGCTGACGAACGGGGTGCGGCCCTGTCGCCGGGTGGGTGGCCGCATGGCCGCGATTGCCCAGCACCTGGGGGCATGGCTCCCCCGCCAAACAGACACCGGAGCAGGTTGCACGCGTGAGAAGGGGAAGGGGGACAGAGAGCAGGCCAGGGCGAGGAAGGAAGCAGGAAAGGGAAAGCACCCGGGCCAAGGGCCAACGCAAACACGCACGCCGCCGGTCATGAGGGTGAGGGTCAGGGAGAGGACATCCTGGTCCTGCTGCTCCTGCGGGGCGAGCAGACGTGGCCGTCAGCGGGGGAACCAGTCAATCGGGCACCGCAACCAGAGACAAACCTCGGTGCCTCAATGCACACTTCACGCACACGAAGAAAGGAATGAAGAAGGCGACGCCGAGCGTGCCGCCATCTGGAGGCCCGCTCCAGCCAGCGACACACAGCCCCCAGCTGGCCAGACGCCTCAGTGTGCATGGCCGAAGAGGCGAAAGGGGGAGGGAGGGGGGGGAGGGGATCAGGCGGCGCCGGCAGGGGGAAAGGGGGCGTCCGGGCACGTGTCAGGCCGAGTGGGGGAGCAAGCCGAGCGAAGCTACTGAGGAGTACCGAGGAGCGTCGTGTCAAACAGGCCCATGCCGTCGGAGGCGAGGCCCTCCTCTTGGAGCGATCGGGTCTACTCCTCCCCCCGAACCAGCCGGCCCCGGAAGGTGGGCCGACGGCAATTTTTTTCCTGCAACGCAGGGCGTCCTCGCCCGGAGCTTCTGGTCGATCACCAGCCAACGCAAGGGGCCGATCGCTTCTCCGGAGCGCGCGATCTCAAGCCGCGCCAGATTGCCAACGGACGTCCGTCCCCGTCCAGCGGCCGCCACCCGAAGAGTGGCTGGCTGACCGAATGAGCTGGAGCAAGGAAAAAGAGACACTGTGTTGGGGCGCCCCCAGGCCAATCAGACATCTGCACCATCTTTCCTCCTCCCCCCACCGCCCTTGCCCTTGTGTCATCCTGCCCCCTCGTACGTGCGCGTCCTCCCCCCTCCCCCCCTCCCCTCCTCCCGTCCATCCTCCTGCTACTCCTTTCAAAGGGATACCAGGTGCCCGCTCCCTCGCCATGGACCCGACGGAGTCCATGTTCAATAGCGCCCTCTCACTGGCCACCACGACCGGGGGGATGCTCGACAGCATCGAAGGCCAGCTTAATTCCGGTTCGTGACCTCCCGCCCGGGAGGCGTCCGCTGCTCCCCTGCCATCCATCCTCGCTGGTCCCCCTCTGACCCGCGTCACACCCAGGCGGGCCCGGCCTGCTAGACGGTTCGCTTGATCGATCGCTGGCGCGCGTGTCGCAGCAGTTGAGCGAGCTCCGGTCCATGCACTACAATCTTCGCGACGCCGCCAAGCGGGAGATTCTCTCCGAACGGCGCGACCGCGCACAAAGGTGCGCCCCACCCCTCAAGCTGGGCCTTTGGCTTCATGTCATACGAGGCGCCTCCCCCCCCCCCACCTCCGTCTCGGATCTCTCCCGTGTCTGATCGCCTCTCTTCGTCTCCTCACCGGCGGGGGAAATGCCTGGCAGCCGCGCGCATTCCCTCAATGAGCAGCATACCGGTCTCCAGCGGCGCCTCGAAAAAGCGCAGCATGCCCTCGCACAGGTTCGCTCCCATCCTCCCCCCCCCCCCCCCTCTTCCCCCATGTGCCTGGGCACTTCTTCCCGGCCGTGACTCCCGGGAAGGCGCGTCACTGACATTGGCCACGCTGTTTCCCTCGCCATGCACCCAGACACCGGGCTCGCAGGCGTCACACTCTTCCAGTGCGACCATGCCCCTGGCTTCCACCGAGGACGCCACTGCCCTGCGGCAACGCCCGGCCCCCTCGTTGTTTGACAATCGCGCCAGCCAGTCGGCCCCTCAGAGCCTCTTCCCCCCTGCGGGCGGCTACCCGGGGGCCGGCCTGCCCAGTGGCCCAGGGTCCGGCTTCGCCCGGACGGGAGCCACCTCAAGCGGCGTACGTGGCTCTTCCTCCTCCTCCCCCTTCCTCCTCCCGCCGGCGCCCTGCACATGTGTCGCCATCCGTTCTTTCAACTGATCCCCACCTCGCCTCCCCCCTCTCCCACTTCAGTCACTCCTACCAACAAGCTTTGTGCCGCAGGATTTCGTCGATCGGACAGCTTCGCAACTCGACGATTACATCGGTGCCGGGATGAACGCCCTGCGCAGTCTGTCGGACCAGCGGCAGCGCCTTGAGGTAATGCTCGCGCGACTCCTGGCATGATCCACCCACCTTGGTCCTCCCCCTGCCTGACTCTCCACTGACCATGCCCCGCTCCT